GTATATAACATTGCTCTGTAATACAGTAAAGTATACTATACTGTATTACATTACACTACACTACATCATACATAACATCACATTACCTTTACTATACTGCATTACATTACATAACATCAAAATGATTTGTAAATTACATTGTACTACACTACATTACATTACACTACACTACACTACAAAATCACATTACTTTGTGCATTACATTATACTTTAAAACATTACACTACGAAATCACATTACTTTGTACATTACATTATACTTTACTACATTACACTACAAAATCACATTACTTTGTACATTACATTATACTTTACTACATTACACTACGAAATCACATTACCGGTACTTTGTACATTACATTATACTTTACTACATTACACTACGAAATCACATTACTTTGTACATTACATTATACTTTACTACATAACACTACGAAATCACATTACTTTGTACATTACATTATACTTTACTACATTACACTACGAAATCACATTACTTTGTACATTACATTATACTTTACTACATTACACTACGAAATCACATTACCGGTACTTTGTACATTACATTATACTTTAAAACATTACACTACGAAATTACATTACTTTGTACATTACATTATACTTTACTACATTACACTACGAAATCACATTACCGGTACTTTGTACATTACATTATACTTTACTACATTACACTACGAAATCACATTACTTTGTACATTACATTATACTTTACTACATTACACTACGAAATCACATTACCGGTACTTTGTACATTACATTATACTTTAAAACATTACACTACGAAATTACATTACTTTGTACATTACATTATACTTTAAAACATTACACTACAAAATAACATTACTTTGTACATTACATTATACTTTACTACATTACACTACAAAATCACATTACTTTGTACATTACATTATACTTTACTACATTACACTACGAAATCACATTACTTTGTACATTACATTATACTTTACTACATTACACTACGAAATCACATTACTTTGTACATTACATTATACTTTACTACATTACACTACTAAATCACATTACTTTGTACATTACATTATACTGTACTACATTACACTACATTGCATGATTTTGTACTACATGTACATTACAATACATTACATGCATATTACATTACATCACATCAATCTTTTTACACTGTATTACATTACATCGCATTTGATTTAATTTCATAATAATTATGCATACTAAAACATCCTGTTTTGTTTAGATTTTAGATTCCTTGGATTTGCACTATGACGAGAAATCCTCGTTATTTTTGAAAGTGTTGCATACTTTGGTCTGCGCTGTCAGAAGATGGTTTCCATGTCAACAGGTAGATCAGGTGCATTATTTTGACCAATGAGTGGCCCACGTGATATTGTAATATATACGATAAAATAAAATTTGAAATGCACATCATTGATGACCTTAACATTGAGCTGCATTGTTGCTATGTGACGATCAGACAGACACTCAAGATATCTCACAGACAGGTTAGGAGTCTTTGAGATCACAATAAAAATTTAATCTCAAATTATTTTTGCAGTTAAAAGAAAATGTTGAAGATAAAAAAGAGAGTTTTACGTCTGTTGCCAGTTTTTTTCTGGAATATCAGAAACAGAAGAAAACTGCAAGAGGAGAAGTTAGTGATGAAGAAGATAATGATGATGGTAGTCATGACAACAATGATGGTGGTTGCCCAGAAAAAGATGAAACAGTTGATGAAGATGATTTCTCTAAACCAGATGTCAAACCTGAACAACCTTTACACATCAGGGTAGTTTTGCAGGTTAGTTCAAACGAATTTGTATTCCAGCCAAAATATTTCTTCAGCATTTTACAAATTTTGTGTAAATAAATTTGATTTATCTTTCACCCGTAGAAATAGACTTTGGCATTGATAATTTGTCTATGACAAAAAAACAAGAAATTTGTAAAATCAAATGCAATGATTAACCCCTGTAGTGATATAAAGTGTGCCAAAAAGGACAGGATAATTTTAGGTTATATCAATTTTACAGGCAATTATATTGCATAATGGACTTGTTCTGTGGGTTGGACTAAAAAACAGTAATCAAATCATTTACATTAATTACTCTGATTGTGAAACATTATAATTAATACATTTTAAAATTATGTAAATTTAAGTACAATGTTTTTATTGTAGTTTCTTGAAGGAATGTACTTCTTTGTGGAGATTGATGACTTCTCTTAGCTTGATAGCTTGTATGTTTCAGTAATGGAGGGAAAGACTGAAGTTATCGAACAAAACTTCAATCATAGTAGTATAGTAAGCTTTATACGTAATTAATAGAAACCTGTCAGGTTGGTGATTTATGAAAAATGAAATCTGAAAAATAATGAAGTATATCTGCAAGTGTTTGAATATAGGATAAAATCTATGTTCAATTGACTTTAGATAAAAATTAAACCCAAAATCACGTTTTTGTCTCTCAAATAGTGCTCCATTCTATCGTATCATTTCATCTCTTGTTACCCTGATCTCTGTTACTATGGTGATTAGAAATGGTATATGCAGTGACGGGAGACAATGCAACAATACTTGAAGGATATAAACAAGTTTTGTGGTTCTCTCGCCCTCAACGAGAACTCTGAGACAATTTTCATCTAAGGTCTAATAGTGAAAAATGCCACACATTTCTTTGAATGTCAAAGTCACAGTTCTTGAGCTGCATTATAATTAAAATTATTTTTTTATATTTAAAGGTTTTACAGAAGTGTGTACATTTCTTGAGTGATAACAATCCCAGGATTCGCTTACTGGTACTTGAAATTGTTAAAAATTCTGTCTTGGCTCTCCAGAACCACCAAGGTATGTAGTGTTATCACTTATCATATCATTCACAGTTGGATGATTAGTGTTGAATATCGCTGCTGATACAGTACGGTAAACGTTACAATGTGACGATAATTTTACGATAATTTTAGACTTAATAACAAACAACAATAACTTCTGTGTTGCAATGACCCTACATTCAACTCATCAAAAAATCAGTGAAAATGAACTTCATACAAAAGTTTTTTCAGTGAAAATTATTTCCAGTTATTACAGCAATTCCAGGCACTGATTTGACGCTGAAGTAGTGCTAGATGTTGATAACTTACTACAATAGGTTACACACTTTGTTTTCACATTTACATAAGTTGTAACTAGAAATATAAACATCGGCTGCAAATCAGAGGAATGATTGACAGATATTGCCGACAATGTTTTCTATTTTTGCTACAAAGTTAGGTACACCTAGACTTTGCGGCGCGTCTGTCTTTCATTCACTTTTGGTCAGTCATCGTGTTGATTGCTTGTCTACAAATTGGCATTTGTCCAAGTTGTTTAAACACCACGACGGAGAAGCAAGGAGTCAAAAAACCAGTTGAAGTGAGAACAAGAGTTGTCGATTTGTATTTTCGTGGACTGATATTTGCTGAGATTGGAGATTGAAATTGTGTTTCAAAGCAGACAGCTTATAATATCGTCAAATGGTTTGTTACTACCGAGAGTATCCTACCAAGAAAGAGTAAGTGGGACCAATCCGCGACTAAAAAACTAACTGACAACGTTATAGACTATGTCGAATATTATAAAACATTCGACAAAAACTACTTGTGTATGTACGGCGTCAACCCTCCCTTCATTATTGATATACTGGATGAAGTCTTCATAGGACATATTTCCATAGTAGGAATAATGCACTTTGATCAATAATTCTGTCATGATCAGTCGGTCAGCTGGTTCTGTAAAATAACTCTACGGGTAACCATGAAGCTATTTTTTAGCTCCATGGGGTAACTAACGGTTTTTACAGTGCCACCACGTTATGCGCCCCTCTCACTGAAATAACATGAGACGCAAATTGAAGTATGAAACCATGGAGGTAATTTCCACCTCCATGATGAAACTGAGTTGAGTGCCTCGATCGTTTATTGGAGGAGATATTCAAAACTAATATACTGCCACTTTTATGGGCTCGCTTTCTTCCAGTGTGCTTTAAATTGCAGACATGTTGTCTGCATTATTTGTAACAACATCTGTAAATGTGAAAACAAAGTGTGTAACCTATTGTAGTAAGTTATCAACATCTAGCACTACTTCAGCGTCAAATCAGTGCCTGGAATTGCTGTAAAAATAAAGTTCAGTAACATAAATTTGCATACGTCTTATTAGCATAGTTCTGGAAAATTACAATTTTTCTTCATGCCAAGCAGCAGTTTTGAATTACTCTGCATATAAAGTAGCTAATTTGCATATTAACATATTTTATCATGTTTTGCTTTATTACCTAGGAAATTATCAGTTTGTCTAAATCAAATTCTTATTTTTATATTTAGATGATCTACTTCCATTAGTCCATCAAATATGGCCACCAATGATCCAAAGATTTGTTGACAACGAACAGCTTGTAACAATACAGGTATGAGGTCAATTATATCCATTCTTGAGAAGTGGTATCCTTTCTCCACTAAGTCGATTGTGTGATCAACAGTCCATAATAAAAAAATGGTGGTTACCAACTAAATTACTGAACTAATTCCTTACTCATGAAATACTTTTAATAAATTTTCCCATTTGAATCAAACTTTGATTGATTATAACAGCAGAGAATACATACATGGTCACCGAAGTGAATTCATTGTGATTCTGTGTTTCTTTTTTCAACACAATTGCTGCCTTATTGTTACATATAAGTTGCATATTGTTTTTGTATTTATAATATATGAATGTGACTTCTCATTGGTTGCTGCTTAAATAAGAATAGTCAGATGTAGTTACCATAGATTTTTTTTTTTTTTTTGTTCAAAATAAGTAATTTTAATAATTTATTATACAGCCAATGTAATTTTTGGTTTATATGCAATTCTACTGGAGATGTGCTTCTAATAGAGGCAATACGGTAGAGGCAATGGTGCCTGCTACCTGCTTTTCCCACTAAAATGCCGCTGTCACTTTTTATGTATTTTTGGTCAATTTGTTAAATTTTTGTACCAAATAGACCTAATTTCCTCCTGCCTATAAGTCTTGATCAACATTTTTGGGAAAATAAGGAAGAAATTATTCAGGTTTGTTTTGTGAAAAAAAAAAAAATGACTTTGTCATTCAAAGCGTTATTTGGATTGCATTACAAGCACTAATACTTGCAAATTGAACAAAAATAGGCTGAGTGTGAAAACGATGAAATCAAGTGTCCATAACCCCCAAAAACAAAAAAACTTTACGACTAAGTAAATTAACCATTTCATTCGTAGGCATTTCACACACTTTGTGTAATGGGCTCAATATGCGGCGACTTTATAAGACGACGAGTGGTCAAAGATATCTGGCCTAAATTGATTGCATTTCTCAACAGCCAATCAGCTATCAGGTAAGTTTGAATAATGAACTGTAGAGGGGGATGTCAAACAGCTATTGTAAAATTGTTCTTCGATTTACTGTAAACTGGTTAATTTTCATTGCTTGGAATTTTGGAATTTTTGCAATTTGATGATTTTATGGCATTCCTGAAGACAAACATTCGCGAAAGTCTGTGGCGCTCAATATCATAGGACTCAAGAGAAATGTTAAAGCGGGGGAATCGTCACCTGCGCATGCCTCAGATGGCCATAGCGTCTCATTGTTTACAAACAAGCTTCTACCCATGAGCTTTTGCGTTTTAAGTGTGTGTTGTTATCGTCGGTTGGAACTCAATTCTCACGTGTGCGCAGGTGATGACCCTCCCGCTTTAACAGCTACAAAATTGCCCGATTTTTACTAACATGCTAAATTTCCTGAAAATTGTCAGTTTCGAAATTAATATGGTTTATATAGTATATTGTTTCGTCTTGATTTTCACTTATTTGATCACTTTGTAATCAAGTTTATGATAATAAATACAAGTGGGTAATATTAGCGAGAATGACTGTAAAAACTTCCATGTTCTCATATATGTCATTATCCCACATAATTTGGTTTTTACAATGACAGTAAAAGTGAAGTGTGAACAGTGAATTTTCATCAGTTTGGCTGTCTATTTTGAGAATAAGGACATCTGGATATCTCTAGCCAGATATCTCGAAAACAGATACACACAAGAGACGTCATTTTTTCATAAGATTCTCAATAAATGAATATCAAATTGCAATTTGAATTAACTTTAATTTTCTCACCCAAATCCATTTCTCTGTCTTTTTTTCTGTTTGTTGATAATAATATTCCTCCAATAAATGAATATCAAATGGCAA